GCAACAGAAAGCTTAAAGACTCACAGCAGGGCTTCCTAAAAAAAGAACTGAACATTGGGAAAGCGATTTTCGATTATTTTGTAAAGGTTTCATTAAATGTGTGTTGTCCTGGTAATCCATTGACGTTACTCCCTCATTCACTTGTTTTGCTACAAATTGTGTGGTAAGAAAACAATAGCAAAAAACAGAAATTTAAAAAAAAAAAAGTTTAGAATTGAGACATTTTTTCTCCTTTACCGGTTATAGAAATAATCAGCGATAACAGAAGACAGACAAAGTAGGAAAAGTTATTTCTGGTAAGAAAAATAAATGGCTAAATAAACAGAAAAAAAATAAGTAGATAACAGGTAGACGGCTTGGATAGGCGATGGGTTGGCGAAAGGTTGAGAGAGGAGGGAGAAGGAGAGAAGAGGTGGAGATGGCGAAGGAAGTAAAACTACTTTCTGCTCTGCTGATTACAAACAGTAAAAAGACAAAAACCAAAAAAAAAAAATAAAGAATTTTATTCACTATTGTTTTTCACATGAATTCATTAGATCAAAACAATTAAAATGGCTTAACAAACGTATTTATGGTGATATATGGCACTGTATGTGAATCACTATAACATTATCAGTTCTTTCGTTCGTTTGTTTGTTCCGTCTCCTCGCTGGTCATCTAACCTGAATGCTTTTAAGTGCATCTGCAACCAACTTTTTCTGCTTCATTATTCGCTGCTGTTCAATCAGCAAAACAATAAAACAATAATAAAAAGTGATTAAACGAAAAAGAAAAAGAAAACTGACAAATATTATAATGATTTTATGAATGCTTCAATTTTTTGAACTTTAAAGTCTCTAATCGCTTTTTGAACAAAATTTTCTTTGTGTGTGTTTTTTTAGAACCACTTTATGATTATCGCCTAAACAACTTCATAACTGAAAGATTTACAATAAAGAATTTGCAACATTTTTTTCCCAATGACAAGTTGAAGTTAGTTAATAGAGCAACTAAATTAAACAATTGAACTTAAAAAAATTATT